GCTGGCTTCCTAGTGAATCAGGAAGCCAGGCTGTACATCATGACCTGCCTCCCAGCTTCCTGATTGGCTAGCTGGCTTCACTTGTTGCTAGGAAGCCAGGTGGCACATCATGACCCGCCACCCAAGTTCTTGATTAGTCATGAAGTCGGCTTCCTAGCTAATCAGGAAGCCGGGAAGTGGGTCATAATGTGCTGACTAGCTTCCCGATTAGCTAGAAAGCCGGCTTCAATTGTTGCTTGGCAGCCTGGCTTTCTGACCAATCAGGAAGCCAGGCAGCATGTCATGACCTGCTGCCCGGCTTCCTGATTCATCAGGAAGCCAGGCTGCCTACCTGTAATCATTTAATCAGAGAAATAGATTATAATAGGGAACATTACAATGTAATATTCCCCGTTATAATCCCCATTATAATCCACTTGTCTAATTACAAGAAAAAGCATGAAATACCAGTACACAACTACTATTCCCCCAATCCCCCCCCGCGCGGCGCTCGGACTTACCCAGCCATGGAGTTTCGATGTGTGCACTGCAGGGGGCGGGGCTTGTGACACACACACGCCTCCTGTGACTCACCTCCCGCCGCCTGTTACTATGGACGCGGCCGGGAGGGGAGGTGAGTCACAGGACCCACCCCCTAACTGTGAAGCCCGTCTGCAGTGCGTGGCCCCGGTGTTCGAACACCGGGACCGTGCACTGCCATATATTGCAGGACCGGACCGCGCTGAGGCTGTGGGGGTGCCCAGGACCGGAACCCACTGGGCCCCCCCCACAGCCTCAGGCCCGGTGCCCCGGCACCGCCTGCACCGGCGATAGTTCCGCCACTGACCGGTGGATCCCTAATTAAAACCCTTATCATATTTTTTTCTGTGTGTGTCCCACTGTGGAAATTCTTCCTTTACTTACTGTCCCAGAGATGCAACCAAAAATTAGAGAACATTTCTCTAAAGTGAATAGAATTATTCTGGTTTTTACTCTATTCCTTTTCCATTTTAAAATTGTTGGATTCCCCTCACTTTCTGTGTTTGTGACAAAAAGGACAAATAGCAATAAACAAAATGACGAAGAACAATACAAACTTGAGCAATAGACGACCACTTCCCTACTCTGTCCAAAACTAAAAAATGCCTTTACAAATATCAAATAATACAACTACTTTTACTTCAACTAGTAGTACTACTACCTCTTCTACTATAAGTACTTTTAATAATAATTATAGTGATAATCACCATCATCATCCATCCTTACCACAATAATAATGCTTTGAATTCATAAACACACAGAGCAGAGAAGGACAGTACAAAGTTGTAATGCAGATTTTCTCATTAGCCATGTTTGCTAGTTTATACTGGTGGGTGTGTATGTGGTAAAAAAAACTGTTGCTTTAGTTCTGGGAAAGTAGCAATCAAGTCACGTTTTAGCTAAAGGTGTTAAAACCTACATACATATAGGTAAGCTACTTCCTCTCTAATTTAAAGAATTAAAACCTGAGTTAAACTTTACCTAATATGTTTGAGGAAATCCTAGCCTGAAAAAGCATAAAGAGCTTGCCATTGCTGCCATCCCATTCTGCAAGTGCCATTTACTTGGCTATCATACTATCATACTGCCCTTCTGACCTCAATACTTTCCCTAACCCAGAACAAGTATGCAGATAAGAAGTCTTGACCTTTTTCAAATGAGTGACTTAGAAAGCTGTGAAGCCAGTGGATCAGCCTAACAGCCTGTAACTAGCATTTTCAGAAGAAGGTCAGCCAGTGGCAGCCCCAGAATATTTCTGAGGAAAGCTTCACTTTAACCACTTCAGGATTTGCATATTATATCCCCTTCCTGTCCAGGCCATATTTCAGTTATTGGTGCTGTGATAGTTTGACTGACGTTTACTTGATCATGCGACACTGAACGTAAATTAATTGATATCCTTTCTCTTACATATGCACAGCTTTCTTTTGGTGGTATTTAATAACTGCTGTTTGTTTAATTTTTTTTAGTACATAAAGGATAAAAAAACAGAAATGAAAAAGTTTCCCTTACTTTCTCTACACTAGGAACACCCCCAAAATGCTTTCCATTTTGGAAATTGGACACCCCAAGGTAGTATAATTTGTTGCCACAATTTAGAAATGAAGAAAAATCTTGCTGTTCAGGTGGTTAAAAAATAAATTGGGGTGCGTTCAGACTTTAAAAGTCATCCACTGAAGCGAACTGCAAGTCTTCTGTTAATATTGAAAGAATTTGAATAGATGAAAGGTTCAAAGATTGAAATTGCATTGTGGGCAATGGCTAAATGTCATGGATAAAGCCAAAACACTTTAACCTCCCCTCAAAATAATCCCACAGTTTTTGGTGGTCATTGACACTTTAAAAAAAAAAATACAACCCACAATCATTGGTGGTCCCCCTTATTGGTGGTTAGTGGCAGTTTAAACTCCCCCCATCCTTTCCCACAACAATCCCATAACATTAGTGGTTAGTGGAATTTCAAACCCCTTCAAGAAAATCCTACAACCATTGCTGGTCAGTGGCATTTTAAACTCGCCTATAATTGGTGGTTTCTGGCATTTTAAATCCCCCCCCAAAAACAATACACAACACATTGTTGCTCAGTGGGCATTTAAAACCCCCCTCAACCTTCACAGCTTTAATCCCTGCAGCTGATCAATTTAAAAGGTTTCATTTATTAAGTCCTCCATTCTCCCCTGTAAGAGGAAGGGGAGGGATCACCAATGTTAACAGTTTTTTACCTTGTTTACATTGGTTGATCGGTCTAATTGGTCATCACAATGATCACATGGTACAGAGTCGCTCCAGTGAGCACACAGATGGGGAAAGGATGTTTAGGTACATCCACCCACCGCAGTAGGGGTGCCATCCGGCCATTGAATTACAATACAGGACACAAGGTGGTTAAGTTATTACATGTAGCTGTTTAAAGCCGATTATTTTTTTTTTGGGGGGGGGGGGTGAAGGGATGGGGAAGAGAGATTTTCATTACTGTGCCCCCACTGAGGAGATTAACTATCTCCATTTATCCTGGTGACCACTATCATCAATACCAGGGGAAATCCGAAATTCAACTCAAACGGGGAAAGTTGTTTCGGTGACAACTGCCTAATTAGGGTTTGCCTATCTTAGGTGAGATTCTCTCTTGCTTCTCGTTCCGCCTAAGTGACGGGAAGTTATGGGACATCTCCCCAATGAAAATCAGATGGGAAAAAAAAGTGGCAAGAGATTTTATCCATTCTCTATTTGACCACAACAATGACTTTTGGTTTTTGTTTTTTTGCTATCTGTTTAGTGTCGCTTTAAGCCTGATTTACTGAAATGTGAAGTACTAAAGTGTGAAGTGATGTGAAGTGCAGTAATGTAAATCTATGTGGCTTACATCCAAACAGCCAATTCGGATACAAATTTTGGAAACTACCCCTGCATATGATTGGATGTTTGTGTTGGCTTCATGCATATCACTGCACTCCACCTCACTTTATACTTTAGTAAAGCAGGCAAATATCACAAATTGGGCTAAATTAAAAACAGTTGCGCACACATTTTCTTTTTACAAAGACTTTAATTGGTTTAAAGACTTTACAAGAAATAAGTTATAGCACTTATGATTATTAGTTGTTGAAAACGAGCATGAGAAAAATAAAATATTACTATAATTTCTGCAATATGAATACACGCATCAAGAAGATAAACATTATATATAGACATTAATGATCATAATTACATTAAATACTATACTGGGGTACTGTTTTTTTGAAAAAAACTCAATAAAAAACTATCTGATTTTAAAAAAAATACTATACTGGTAGTTTGGCAACATACTATTCCCTAACAAAAAAAGGAATTTGCACAAAATATACTTTAAAAAAAAATCAATCCAGCATGTTCATTGAAAGTAAAGCACTTAAAATAAGAGTAACACGGTTTGGTAATAAAAATGCCATCATGCTACACTTTGTCACTTTACCATATACATATCTAAACCTTCAGAATTATGTCTTTCTCCTATGCTGCCATTCTACAGTGGCATAGTGGTTACCACTTCTGCCTCGCAGTGCTGGGGTCCCTGGTTCAAATACTGGCCAGGACCCTATATGGAGTTGCATGTTCTCTCTGTGCTCCCACACTCCAAATGCATGTTTGTAGGTAATTGGCTTCTATATAAATCGGCCTGTATATGTATACATATGAGATGGGGGACCTAGTGATTGTGTAAGCAACTTCAGAGCAGGGATTGGTGTGAATATGCAGTAAAGGGTATAATAAATGCCCACAATGAAAATAAATATTAGTGTATTGTACAATATAAACTATACAAGCATCAAAACAGATCTAGAGTTTATTTGATGGGATTGGCAGTACTCCTTTATAGATTAGAGGATTTCAAATGAAAGTATATCTAAACCTAATCAAAATAAATAATTAAAAGTTTTAATATAATAATGTAGTTTTAATAGGTGATTGTAATCTTTTTAAAATATAGGATGTTACAGGGTGACATCTCTCTGTCTCCCAGTTGAAATTCTGCATTCTGCATGACTGCCCTGTTAGCAGCCACTTATACACATTGTGCAGGCCTGCTCCACGTTGTCACTATTGCAAAGCCAACCAGCTCACTGCATAGGTTTGGCAGGATTCCTGTTGAGACAAAGTAACTCATCTGGCCCTGGCCAGTCAATCACCCGATCCTGGAAGAAAACCAGGATGAAGATCAAATCACCAGCTAGGGAGGAGAACATTGACATTGCCGCACTGGAGGGGATTGTTTTGGCAAGTAGGTCCGCGATTATGTGCTAATAGGCTGCGCATACTAGTACATTATTACTAACAGCTCATAGGGGCTCTTTCTTTTTGTTTTTCTAACTTTATTTCCACTTTAATACCTTACAAGTTGGTGCACAATTTAAGTTGGTCCATTGTCTGCATGCTGAAAAAAGTAATCATTGTGAAGAAAGTCAAGTTTCTCAAAGGTTAAGTCATTACTAATCTTGAAACTTCAACTGCTTCCCTTTTTTCTGACCCCAGCACTCCCTTCTGCAGCCGGATCTAGCACAGTATGAGAGATACATTGATGGCTGATTAGTAAGAGGCTCTTACATTGAAACAAACATGGGGTATTTCTTTGGACCTACAGCTTCCCTGACCCTCTGATTGCATCATAAGAGAGAAAAGAAAGTGGTACCTATTTTTCTATTATTCAGTTTAGATCTCTAGTACTTCTATAGGGACCACACCGTGGATGTTTACAGTATACCTGGAGATGTGTTTATAAATGCACAAAATATAAACAGATATTTATATTTTAAAGTGGTTACACTGTAGATTGTTAACCCGTGGAGTATTTTCTTTCTCTGAGGATCAGGAAGGAAAGTTAGAGAACTTGTTGTGTCTCACATCGTATTTGCTTTATTTTTTTACGCAATGTATATCTTTATGTTAATAATATCGTGTTATCTAATGACACCAGGTGGGGAAATGCTGTTGTGTCTTTTGTGTGTTTCCCTGTTCCCCCTTCCTGATTTGTCTCTACTTAGTTCAGTCCCTAGCTAGACACTCCCATCTCTATCATGCTTCTTTAGATTAGTTTCACTTTCATTGCAGAGACAGGACTTTGGAAATTTGTCGTCATTGTTTCCTTACACTTCAAAAGACTATAAAAACATTGTCTGCACTTTTCTGCAGTAAAACTTTATTGGATTAAAATTTTGTGTCTGATTAAGCTAAGTTGTCTGTGGATTCTGCCAAGTAAGCAAATGGCCATACTGTTCAGAGAGACTGTGATCTAAAGAGGTATGCCATTGCATTTACAGTAACAAGACAGATTTATAAAGCCTATTACACAATGCACATTGTCTTTGCCTGCACTCTAAAATAGCACAAGCTGCATAAGAGACTCTCAGATTGGCTTAGAAATATTTTTGAATTGGATAATCTTCTTATCCAAAACTTGACCAACAGCTGGAGCAAGAGTAAAATCTGTCTCTCTCACACAAAATATTAATCCTGTTTTGAATGAGTTTCATTTTAATCTACAGTAAAAAATGTCAAACTTCAATTTTCCAGATACGCACATATATACCGGTCTATAACATAAAGTGGTGCCGTTTTAAGTAGTTGCAATCAAATACAGTGTAGAGCCATCTGGCTATCATAACAGAGTCGTTTAGATTGTTGATCCCCATTTTCTGTAATGATGTAACTACAGTTCTGTGTCTTTTGTTCTACCTTTAGCAATTAAAGTTAGGCACCAGCAACATCTGTGTCTGTAAAACAATGACAGAATATTTATTAAACAAACTTCTGCTAATATTAAAATATTCTTAAAATGTTTAAAGTGGATGTAGAGAGAGTTTATATGTTTTAGTTATTTTATATTTTTATTAGTTTATGTTTAACAACAAAAATATCATTTTACAGAGCTTGGAAACATAAAAAAAATAACATTGACCAAAAACCAATAAAGTCTTCCTTTGAAACCCAAGCACTGTCAAAATAGTTATTTTTAGCTTTGGAAAGTGCAGGAAAGGAAAAACCACTGTCAACTTATTATTGCTGTTTGTGTCTCAGTTTGGGAGATTTCCCCTCACTTCCTGTCAATTTGGCATTATCAAAACAGAAAGAGAAGGGAAATATCCTTAACTATGGAACGGAGCGGGGAAGGTTAGAATTTTTGGTTGTTTATCATTTCTGCCTGTGTCCCTAGTGGGAATATTTCCCTTTACCTACCACCTGGGTGATCACTGTCAGTATTCTAAAAGGAAACACAGCATTTATGACGTGGTCAAGATTTTAACCCTTCCTGCTGTATTCAAAAATGTATATAGTTGGTTTTTACATTAAACTTGACTGCCTACATCATACCATTCTAATACCCCTGGTAGGTCCAAATGACATGCATTGCTTGTGCCAAGTTAGCCACTGAAATAAATAATGCCATTTATTCACCTACAAATACATACATTATTTCTACATGAATGCCGTAAATGGTAAAAGCTTATTTCCTTAATTCATTTCCATATACGCCACCTCTCTATCAAATAATATTTTACTTATAGGAAGGCCAGACCTGGAGCACTTAGTGGCAATAACCTAGCTTTTCAGCTGTTGGTATAAACACCCACCCATGGACCCCTTTGTTTAAAAACTTGAATTTATCTTTATTTTTCACAGCACCATCCTGATTAACAACAGGAAAGCTGTACTGTACTCCCATCACTGTTTCCTGCATCAGGGAGCTTAACAACTAATGTCACTGTCGGACTCATGTAAATAAAACGCAGTGGGGAAATCACTTTTCAATGTGGTTGCTTTTAATATTTTCTAGAAAACTGAATATGCATCATTTATAGGCTCACATCATTTATAGCTCACAGTATTATTCACATTCAACTGTTGTAGAACAGAAATCTAGTTGAAAGAAACGAACTGCTGCTGGGTATAATAGATATAACCTGTAAATAAGAACCTTCACACACATCACTTATATTAAGCAATTAAAACTTACTTTTTTGTTTAACTGTTCTACATACAATTAGAACACTTGCAGCAAAAGCCAGTGGTAAGCAGATATTTCTAACAAAATATACAATGTTCAAGTGGCTGTGTTCAAGTGGCTCATCTCTTTCCTCTGTAACACAAAGAAGAGATGGCATTACTTGCTTTCTAAATTGTGGTAGTGAAGTAGAATATAAATACAAATTTCATCATGCATATACAGTAACTACAGTCAGTAGAGATTCTTTTCTGTATTAGAAATGGTGTTCTGAAGAAAGGTAGCTGAAAAAAAACTGCAGCAAGCCCTATTTTACCTGCTCTGGAACGCATGCAAAAGCATCAAAAATGCATGCAAACGCACTGGAACGCACTAAAAAACCATTTTAAACTAAAAATAGATTTTTTTAAACCAAAAACGGCCCAGAACGCATTAAAAACGTAGCAAAAAATGCAATATAACACACTGCACTGTGTGTGCAGAAACTCATGCAGATATGGTCTGCATTTGGTGTGAACAAGCCCTAAAAGCAATACCCTGTGTCCTGGACACAGCAGGCATCATGACCAGAGCCTGGGTTCCTTTGGAATATGATTCCAATCGATGAAGGGTGAAGGGAAGGCAATGGGAGGGGGAGACCAAAAATAAGAAAACACCCTTAAAAAATCCTGGGGAAATGTCTTTGGGGAAGCTGGTTGTCTTCACTTTATCTCTGTTCCTGGTCATTTACATTATCTAAATCTTTGTTGAAGGGGATGTGTGAGGATGTTTTTTTTTTTTTGTGAATTGCTTTTTTTGTTATGCTCTTGCATATTCTGTCACAGTTGGTGTTATCTCTTTGTAGGCTGAGGTGTCAGGTGGCTGAAGGAGCAGTGTTATTTTATTGCTAATTCAGAATTGGCACAATTATACGTTGGCCGTTTACTCAAATTCAAAGATTGGTACTACATACTTAAATTTGGTGGCAGCAAGCCCAAGTAAGCCTCTGAACCTTATTTTAGCGGCTGAATTGGCTCCTGTTAAGAAATACATATTTGTCAGCTCTTTCAGAAGTGTAAGATGCGCAACTCAGGTCTGCAAAGGGAATAATGTTGGGGTATGCTTATACGATGTTCAATAGATCAGTTTTGTTTGTCATAAAGCTATTGCCGATACACATTAAAGTGCCAACCCAGTCGAAAATGTATAACATGTGTTTATAACTGATTTACTTTGGTTATGGTTTGGGGATAGAGTTGCGGGATCTGAGGGAGCGAGCGCTGCACTTGTCAAGATGACATTCGAAGCCCACAGTCCCAGGCATTTCAGTCCATATCATTTACATCAGCACCATGTTGCAATTGGAGCCTAGAGAGAAGGCGATTCAGCTTTCTATGACCATGATTGACACAGGTTCAGGGTTCACTAGTTTTTAGCACCAGGATATTGCTGCTGTTACTTTCTATTTTTCTGCGGTATAAAGTAAGTATGCCGCAGAAGGGATTAGGGCAGTGTTAGGGTTATATTAGATTAGTGTTAGGGTCAAGATTTAGGCAGGAAGGTTAAATGTTAGTTTAAGTTTTTGAGGGAGATTAAGACATAACATATCCTCTAAAAGGAGTCCTTAAGTATTAAGAATTCCAAAGAGGTTCTGCAAATTGTACATTGCATTATATTAAATATAAGTGAACTGAATTCAAGGAGCATGAGTAGAGACACCATAAGTTATAGTGTACACAGGCATTTGGGATGTATTTACAGTGCATTTGCATGCATTTATGTGTTTCATTAAAATTAAGTTGATATGTATTTGCCATGCATAGAAGATGGTGTTCTCACACCATTCAGCTTCAGAATATCGTCTTTATTGGTATTTCTTCAGCTTGAAATGAAAAAAATTACATTTTGGAACCTCACAGGGTCCCTTTGTCAGGCAAAGTGTCACACAAAGCATAAACTGAACCCAAACTGAAAAGCCTGTATACTGTAGCTCAGGGGTAGGCCACCTTTTGTGGAACTAAAAGTCCAATGAGGCATTGCAAGACTCAGGCATGTCTCCCGGAGGCAGAGGCTTGGTGGGATTTATAGTTTTACCAAACCTGGAGTGCCTACCCCTGCTCTAGCCCATCAAGAGCCTATTGTGAAAAGCAAAGCATGTTATAGGCAAAGTGCACCCTTCTAGCCATCTTTCATGTTACACCCATATTAGGATTTTGCTCTTTGAAGTTGGCATGGCTGTGTTTGGCTTCACCCACAAAGCCGAATCATGGCTGTCAAAGGATCTGTGAATGGAGAAACTACATGTTCCGTTTGCCCTTCATGGCAGAGGGACTTGTTGTTTAAATTGAAAACAAGAGCGGTGACATAACAGTCCATTGACACTTCCTTCCAGCCATGCTGCTGCATGTTCGTACATGGACAGGAGGAAAAGTCTGCAGGAACCAGAGCATTGCACTCGCGATCTACTGGTCATGGTTACAATGGTTCGCTGGTTCCAATGCAAAAAAGGGTAAAAAAATGTTTTCTTTCATGAACAAGTATGCATTCATTTTTTCCCCCCCAAAAAATTGAATTTTTTTTTTTCATTTCTCCAGCTTTTATTTTTACCACATTTACATGTAGTTCAGCAGAAAAGACAGTTACAGGGGTTGAGATTATGGAGGCGGCAGAGGGAAACCACACAATACCTATTTTTAAAGGCTTAAGTAATAATTTATAGATGGAATTTGATACTTGATATTTGTCTGTTATTATCTGTATCTACAAATCGTCTTGATCGAACGCATTATCACTGTCTGGGCGCACACACACAAAAAAACACGCCCAGAAGCATATAAAAAAAAGACCATTGTAAGTCTTGGCAATGGAGAAATTCTTCTCAAACCATGTCACTGTGATTTTGCTAGATAGATTGTTCTGGATCTACACGTGGAGCAAAATATTAAAGATGTGAAATAGAAAAGAGAATTAATATACTGACTACTATTACATGTATTACCACATACAGCTACCAGGATACAATATTTTATGTGATAATGATCCCTTACAGAAAACCTATTGGTATTATAAAGGTACTGAGCAGGCTGTAG